ACAATGGCCTTAATAGTACAGAAGGAAGGTTTGACACAATCTCGCATAAGCTAATCGAGCATATGACAAATGTGACATCAGTAGTTAAAAAAATAATAAAGGTTCACTGTCAAAATAATGTCAAGATAATTCAGAAATTGTGAAGGTGATACCTCTGCAAGGGCCAATAAGGTCAAATAGAAGAGGTGGTCATAAGTGATTTTATTGCTGTCTTTGCATAGAAAAAAGAATACGGAGAAGGCGTTTAGCGTAGGCATCTATCGGCGTCTATAGGAACATCATCCACCATCCCCAATGAACAAATTGAAGGGTTACAAATGTTAGAAAGACCCAGAGTGGGTTCTATGAAGGCAGTGACCTCTGACCAAAAGGAAGAAATCATCATAGATCATGCCACTTATGTTTAATTTTCCTGAAGCGTAGAGATCTAATGCTATTCAATTTAGCATAATATGTAAAAACAAGTTTAGAAGAAACATCTCTATGAAGGAGTCATTCTAAAGGTAAAGGTTTCAAGGATGTAGAACGAAACTGAGTTTGAACTGCATGTAGCAGCTGATAATACTCTAAAAAGGAGGTGTGGGTGAGTCCACGCTTCTCCTGGAGTTGGGAAAATGTAAACAAAGTGCCTTACTTAAAGATATGTTGTAATTTTTTAATGCCCAGGGAGAACCAAAACTGAGCAGAAGGGAGTTAAAGCAATTCACTATCAAAAGGATTTATCCACAAGGGGAATTGGGGATTGGGTCCAATCTCCATCCTTCAGCATTCCAATCACATATTTAGGAAGACGTACAGTGGTACATATCAAAACCAGACCTGGGTGAATGAAAAATGAACCCCTGTATACTGTGTTTTTAATTATTTAAATGATCTAACAATGGCAGGTTCAGTAGCCATCCACACATTGCCCATCAATAGAATCAACCATTCATGTACCACCACCAGTTGTGCCTCTAAATAATATAACTGAAAATTAGGGAAGGCCATGCCTGCCATAGTGCAGGGAAGCTGGATGATTTCTAGGGCTTTGACCTTTCCAGAGAAGGGATAGGCAAATGGAGTAAATTTTCCAGAAATGTGATAGTGGTACATAACAGGGGGAGTTGGCAAGAACATATAGGAGTTTAGAAAGAAAATGTGTTTTAACCACATTAACCCTACCCACAAGATCTAGAGGTAAGATCGTCCATTGCTGCATTTTGAGATGTAAGGATTCAATGAATGGAGTGATATTATTGGTAATATATGATGAGATAGGCAATTGTACATTGACACCCAAATATCAAAATTTATGGGCAATTTTTTAAATAATGGAGTTAAGCAGCAAATTAAAATTAGAGGCCTTTTTACAATGAATGACGTTGCCATGGATAAACCATGGATTTACTCAGTTTAACTATTTGTATCATGTAAAAAATTAGTGCAATGGTTATGATCCTTTTGGTAAATACCTCTACAACTGTCTGTTGTTTTTCTTTACTAATTGAGTATTTACAGCAATACTTACCCATGGACCTTTTAAAACAAAAGGGAGAATGATTAAACACTCATGTATATCTTGGCATGGGATGTTCCACTTTGGATTGACTTGGGTTTACTTGGGCTTTGTGAATTTCTTGCCCAGGAAACAAGTTGGTGATCACTGCTGGGCACAGGGATGGATATTTACACAAAGTAAGTCCTTTCCATATACATGGTCTCTCTCTGCCCCTTCACACAATGAAAATGTAATACTGAGTGAAAAATAAGGAATTACAAATATGCTGGGACACCCGTCGTCATTAAAAAAAACAGTTGGGGGATCTAGGCCTGATCTAATTTGTGCATATTTAGAATTCAGATGGTATATCATTGCAAGGGTGTTAAGCTACCTGCGCTTAAAGACTGATTTTGAATGGTACATTTGTGTCCCAATATAGTGTATGGTATTGACTTATATGATTTTTTTGGAATACCTCTCTTTATGTCCTATGCATACTGAGGAACATTTAATTCTGACATAGATTTAATTAATATCAGTGGACTGACTGATTTTTTCCATTGCATTTCAACTATTCCTAATCCTTGCCATAATTACCTATTCTGTTGGATTTAATCTTAATGATTATATGGGACATATTTCATTATCTTTCACACAGCATTTTTGTGGGACATCTTTTCATTGGACAAGCGGTTTGAATATTGCACCTTGTTTTCTATTTCGCTTATAGAACTCTATTTGATATTTTGTCATATGCAGTGCCTCGTGAAAGTATTCACCCCTTTGTGGGGTTTTCTGTTTCATTGCATTACAATATGGAATTAAATGGATTGTGGAGGTTGTGTACTATGTTATTTACATCACATGCCTACTACTGAAATATTGTGCATACGTATTCACCACCCAAAAAGCCACCATTTGCTGCAGTTGCAAGTCTATTGATATATGTCTCTATTAGCTTAGCACAGGGGTTCCCATAACTTCAATGAGCTCGTCATTTGAAAAGTAGATCTCCAGATGAAAAATAGTGGGCGCCCCTGGCTTAGCACATTTAGCCACTGGGAATTTTGCCCATTCTTCAGGGCAAAACTGCCCCAGCTCCTTCAGTTTAGATGGGTTGTAATGGTGTATAGCAATCTTCAAGTCATGCCATGGTTTCTCAATTGGATTGAGATCTGGGCTGTGACCCAAAAGAGAACTAAAGCCAAAAACAGGTTTAGCTCTCTTTTAAGACTTGTCTAATTTAATGACTGTGTGAAAAAGTGGAAGAATTATTTTTGTATTGTTCTAAATAAACAATAAATAATCACTTTGGGGGATAAAATGCATGGTTTCTTTTGCACTATCCTTGACTTGTTTTTTACTATATTGATTAGGTTTTGACCTCGGCCCTAAATTTCTAGAAATTGGCCCACCTAACATTTCTTCTGTTATTGTTTAAGAGTGGATTATATACAGTATACAGCAAACTCCCTTGCCTTTTTAATATATATTACCCCAGAGCAACCTGTGAAATAATTTTCAGGTATTAGGGAAACAAAATTATTTATCATGGGTCAGTGAAAAGCATGCCCCTTACAATGGTGGTGAGTGGGAGGAATTTATGTGCACCTTACAGTGGTGGTCAGATTGCAATCCTTACAGACAGCTATAAAATATAATTGATGTCATGCTGCTGGCTCTGGTCTGTAGGAGGTTAGGATAGGAGGTTAATCAGCCAATCAAAACCCCCAGCAGCAACCTCTAGAGGAACCCTAGGGTTCCATAGAACCCTGAATGAGATTGATTGTTCTAAAGACTGTTGTGTGTGAAAATCCCTAGAAATGAATAGTTTTGGAAAAACTCCAACCAGCCCATCTGACAACAACAATCTTGCCATAGTCAAAATTGCTGAGATCACATTTTTTCCCTATTCTAGTGTTGGATGTGAACATTAGATAAAGCTCTGACCTGTATCTGCATGATTTTATGCATTGTGTTGCTGCCACATGATTGGCTGATTTGAAAATTGTAAAAACAAAAAATAGGCAGATGTTTTTATTAAGTAGTTTGGTGAGTGTACATAGAAACAGAAAAAAACCTAAACATTTGTAATATCTCGTTCCAATTTCTCTAGAGAGTCTAACAGATATGACTTGTACATATGTTATTTATTGGTGAGAAATTATATAAATAATGTTAAATAGTTATCAGAATCTTCCTCTGCACTCAATAAATAAAAATTATAGCAGTGTGTTTGAAGTTTCCACCAAGCATATCATTATAAACAACTAGGTGGAAAAACTGTTAGTAATGTTTACCAACATTGCAAGGCACTTATGCTGAAGATCCACTTCATATGGATAGATCCCGGAGTCATAATGTTGGGAGAGAGGCAATGATGTGAGATGGAGAGGCTCATTTATGAAACATTTTCTAAAGGAAAAGGTGTTTGTTGCCTGCAGTAATTATTCAGCTTTGATCTGTAATTTTTTTTAGAGAAGATCTGAAATGAGTAGTAATTTGGTTGATGTAGCCTAAAAAATATGTTTTATATGAGGTCTAATTGGTTCTGGGAGATACATTTTATGTTATCACAATAATTATTTTGAAGAGCAACTACAGACAACAAGTATTACGTGACCTACTATCTGTACAAGAACCATGGACACTCTGCTTAGGTTAGAAGGTCTTCTCAATTTACCATAGCTTACTTTTCTGCAAGCTCCATTCTGCCTGAACAAACATGTCTTCTGTCAATTCCTTTGGGCAGGGCTGCAACTTCTTGACATTCATTTTTGCTGTCTATCTTCCACAGCTAATGCTGCTATGAAACTTTAGAAGAAGAAGGTCAGGGGTGTTAAAATTTTATTTTTGGGGAAGTCTGAGACGTGCATAATTAGCAGTCCTGGAGAGTGTATACACTAGTTAGTGTATTTATTGATAGATATTCCTGCTCTGTTTCTTTGGTACCTCAGATATTTGGTCTGACATTTGTTAAAGTAAATGTGAATCAAAATGCAGGAACAGCATGTAATTTCCCTACAAACAAGCATGTTCATTAAAGAAACATGAAGATAAATAATAGTGTAAGGTGGATTATTGCACATTACACATCATTGCTGTTCTCTGCCCCAAAATTGTTTGTAAACCTTGAAGTGAACCTTGATGGCAATAGAAGGAATTGTTAGAGTTATTACTACAATGTCTGTAAAAGGTAATAAATACCTGGTTACCCTTACACATTACTTGTATGTATTCGCCTACCATGAGAGATATTTTGGATGCTCGGTTCACTTTAAAGTGTAATGATAGAAGCCAATGAACATATGGCCTATATTTGTATTATGTGAACTATATAGCAAGAACCATTGCATTATTGATGTAAACCTTTTATAAAAATATCCAAAAACTCATAATGACTTTACCTAATCATTTTAGCGGCAAATACACAAAGGAATGGCACTTCATTGATCTGGCAATGGTTTCCTGTCTAAGTTATACAATAAAATAATTGCATTCTGCCTTCTCCTGACAGGACACATTGTCATGCTCTTCATGGCCAGCATCACCTGCCCTCAGATGGGAAAAACGGTGGTGTGATCTCCGCTTAATCCCACTTCTCCATTCAAGATTATCACAATATATGACAGGAACAGATTTATGCAGGTAAAACATGTCAATATTCTCGCATTTAAATGAATTAACACTGTGTTTCGTTTAATAATGTTCTAATTTAATTTTGAAAAACATTTAAAGCTGAATGTCAGTTTTATGATAAATCCTCCCCTGTGTGTGTGTGTGTGTGCGTGTGTGTGTAATATATATTTATTTATATATATATTCCTTCTCAGTTGGTCTGGTGACATAACAGGTCCTTTCTCTTTCTCTCCACTGAATAATAATAATAGTTGTCTCTGACCTCTGTGCTGGGAAGGTATACCATGTAAACAGCTACTCGGAGAAGTAGGAAAGCTCAGAATTCTTCAGCATTCTTACAGTAACAACAATGTTTTGTCAAACACACACCCAGCCTGCTGATGGCAGACTTAAGCAGAACTCCAACCAAAACTATCTGTTTAAAGTGTAAAATAAAACAACTTGCTGCAATACTCTTACCTACAATCTGGAGGTGTCCCTGTGGCACTTCTCCACCACTTGATAGTCTCAATCTTCAGGGTTGAATGATGACAAGCTTCATTCAACCCACCTCCTCTGAGCCCAGGCTGTCGTGGACCTTGAGGCAACATCATTATGCAGCCTGGGCTTGGTTTATAGTATTGCTGCAGTACTGAACTTAATCTTTAGGTGAAATGTATCCAATTATACCAAAAGATACCTTGCTACTATCATGGGTCTAATTGCAAAACACTATCATGTCAAAAAATGATTGCAAAAAAAGTTGACGTACAGTCTGACAAACTATTGGCACTAAAAAAACCTGCACAAAACATAATAATATGTCTGTAAACTGCTCTGCTTGGTCAGTTAAGGGCTTGGTACATAAAGTGACTTGGATACAGACACTTCAAAATGTATTATTACAGGCTTCTTTTCCATCTGGGGATGGTGATTACTGGGGATGGTGATTACAGAAGCATTGAAGGTACACATAGTACATTGCAGAAGTGTTATCAAAGCTAAGAGATGAGCCACTGTGATTTCTGTACTATTCTCTGGGGAGACAGACATCTAATGCATTTATTTGTTCAACGTTGTTGATTGACATAATGCTTTCAGAAGTATTATGAAAAATCCTATTTATTTAACCTCAACTTGTTTTACACACTTTGCTCAATCAATTTTCTTTAGACATAGTGCTACAAATTTGTCTATTTTAAGTTGTTCCTCCCACGCACTTAGTAAAAGTACAATATGTCATATTTCTCATATTTACAAAAGGTTTGTGGTTTTTACAGCTAGTTTGAGCCAAGAATATTAGAGAGCCAGCGGTATCTGAAATGACCACTCACAGACCTAATCAGAAAATTTGACCTTTCTGCCTTTGGCTAACCAAGGAAACAGGAGAGAGAAAACCCACAAGAAATCAAATCATATACTCGCAATAATCAAATATTATAGGCAGATGTTGACCATAGATTGATAAATATTTTGGACAGTCCAATAAAGATTAGTGTGACTTCAATAACAATCATTATATCACTACATCAAGGGTATTTTGGGGGGGAATATGTGAGATGACCCTCTCCTGGCAGCACTTATATCCACTTACTCATACAGCACCTAGGTAAACTAGGAATCCTGAGCCTCCTCTGAGTGAATTATTTTGCAATAGTGCCTGCACCAAGTGCGACTCCTTTCAATGAATACCTTGTCCCAAGGTTGTTCACTAGTTTGTACTTGTAACAAATACAGGCCCACTCTTGTAGATGCACTTCCAAATTCTTTACTTTGTAAAGAATTAGTTCTCCTTTAACTTTGTTAAAGGAGAACTATGGGCTCAGTGTTTTTCCCCATAGCGGTATACTGAGACGCCGGAGCGGATCCTGACTTAGACGACGGGATCCGCCCAGCTGCGTGAGTGACAGCTGGCTCTGCCTATCTAGAGGCAGAGCCAGCTGTACCCTCCCCCTCCCCCATCCGTTCCGCCAGTCAGCGCTGGCAGAACGGAGCGGGGAGAGGGCAATCCAGCCCCTCCCCCTGTCACGGCAGAGAGCTGTGACAGGATCGAGAGGTGAGCGAACCCGGTATGTGTTCGCTCAACTCCCGATCTACTGAGCCGACCTGTGACAGTCCTCATAGTTCTCCTTTAAGGTAAAGGACAGGAGAAGGTGGAATATCTATGCTGTTCTGGGTCTCCTGCAGCTTCTCTGGCTAGTAGATACTGGGTTTATCTGAGCATCCAGGAGTGTTAGCTACTAGAGCAATGCAACCACAAAGCAAGAGGTTCTTCTGTAACCCGATCCCAGCTCTTTGACTCAAGCATCGGACTACTTCACACACATAACTTCCAGGCTCTCAGCCTGCTAAAAGGGCCGCCTGCTCTAGGCCAGGGCTTCAGCCTGGGGCTTCCCAACAAGCACACTGACTGCACACTCCTGGACTTCTCTGAAAGGACACCTCCGCAAAGAAAAGGGCTAACCAAAGGACTCTTCCAAAACAGTACCTATCTGGAGATGTTTTTAGAAAGAGACTAACAGTTTTAAATTGAAACATTGATATTGGTGAAGTTACTTAATGTGAAGCTGATGTGTCACATACTTGCCTACTCCAGTGTTGTCATCACATATCAGGTATATCCAGGTGCCTGTATTTCAGGTCCTTCAATGGTATAAGCACTCTCCTTGGGTGAAAAGCCATGGTGTTCTGATAAACACTTATTTCCTAAGTCTATGGAGCTATGTTACATAAGGCAAATAGGCTGCTCACTTTGCAAAGGAATTTTTACTTTGCAAGACAGTTTTCCCTTTGCTTAGTAAATGACATGAAGCTCTCCTAACTGCAAGTAAAAATACTGTTTTTTAAACATTTCCTTGCACATAATTGGGTATTTTTAGAAAAGTGAGTGTTTACCACATTTACTAAGCTACAAAAAAGTCCCTTGCAAAGTGAAAAATTCCTTGCAAAGTGAACAGCCTGTTTGCCTTTAGTAAATCAACCCTAACAGCTCAGAATCCTGGCTCAATGGAACACATACAGTAGGATTTATTTTACCCCTTCAGGACTACAATAGGTACAGTATATAAATGACACACTCCTGAAGTGGTTATACTAATAACTACTTGTGCCATACATGTTACATATTGCCACAAACGTCGGAGTGAGCGCAATGATTTTGGAGGCATCGCTCACTGTTAACAGTAAATTGATGAGTGGTAAAGGCTTTGTCATGTGTCTCCTCATATGGGCCATCTTGGGTTCTGTAGTTTTTTTCTCCCTTTCACAGGCATGTGCAATTATAAAGATTGAGCAGATTCTGTATTATATTCTGTTTGTGCGCACTAAAATGAATGTTAGTGTATTTTTTTCTGAAAATATTGATTTTATAAACATTTGCACAAATATTAAACTAATCATTACTCAGGTCAATAAAAAAAATGCAGCTTGTAATATAGAAAACTTGTAGTGAATATTATTTGGGTCAATAATATGTTACTTTGTCTGCATATTGCACTGCAGCTTTCCAACCCTGGCCATATACTTGATTTTTGGGGTAAACAAGCAGATGGGATAGGGAATGTTAGTGTAGATCATTAAGGGAGGCTAGTAAAGTGTTAGTTACGGTAAAGATGTCTTTTAAATAAAATTGATCCAAAACAATTAAAGGTTCTTGTCTGTGCATTAGCAAAGGCTGCATACTGAAGGCCAGGGTTGCAACACCCAGCACTTACATACCAAGGGTAAATGTCTTAATCTTATTCAGATTAGGTGTTAAGGGATTCAAATTGAATGCTGTGAGGTAGTAATGTGGCAAACTTTTAATATGTAGATTCTCATCATGATCAGTGACTGCATGTAATATAGCACCAAACGAGTTCTGTTCTTCACTTCAACCATAATACTACCTAGCAATGAGGTTAAAGTGTATGTTACCCCAAAAACTAAAAGCAAATATATGTGTTGTGTTACTCAAAAAGGTCTTTTAAAATGTAGTCACTATCTTATTTTTAATTTGATGCCACTAAACATCTGGTGATCCTACCAGTTGCCCTAGGTTCCTTTTTCAAACTGATCACGCCAAGCACGCCAAGTATCTCCTGTAGTCAGTTTTGCTGCCATGTCCCCCCTTGCCTGTGTTGATTAGCAGCACTCCCTTGGTTAGTTTTGTGGGAAATGTCCCTTTCCAGGCCTGCCCGTTTTGATTGGCAGTGGCTCCCAGCTGGGGTCTGGCTATAAAAATTACAGCTGCTGCTGCTGGAGGGCAGCATGCACATAAGGGGAATGTACTTTGCCATTTTTGTGTGACATGATAAATTGCCTGCCTACTACAGAAACTGTCCACCCCCACCCGCCTGCACTGTTGTCTGTAAGTGTGATCACGAGACTACTGTCCAATAAAAGTTAATAAAAAGGTAAAAATATTTACTTAAGCAAATGCCAATATGGTCACTAAGTAATTATTTACAATATATATATATATGTTTAAATTGTTTTTTATTTTATTCCCATTATTTTAGAAATGTGAAATTCCTAGATGATTTACAGTAGGTATGTACCAAACCTAAGTTATGTTACATAGACAAGCAGAATACACCACATTTGACAATAAAGCAAGGTTACAAAATGGCCATATGCTGTGTATTAATTAGCATAGACTCCCTTGGTGAAAAGTTTAAAACAGGAACACCTGGATAAATGACTTAGAATTCTACCGGCATTAATAACCAAGCAGGCCACACAGCTATCCAGCATAAATATAGAGGAGTCATTAAAACCAAATTAGCATATTGTTAGGTAATAAACCAGCACGAGCATTATGTTGGCCTCAGCAAAAACATTGCATGATTAACATCAGTGACATCCTTTAGCAGTCATGTAAAAGACTCTTCAACTTCTACCAGAAACAAAACTCTGCCTACTGTACCTTTACAAGTCAGAGTATCGGGGGTTCTATGGGACACATCACTTTCACAGTGTTTACTTTCTATGTAGTTGATGACAATGGATAGATAGATAGATAGATAGATAGATAGATAGATAGATAGATA